GACAATGAGTTCCCAGGAGTATGGAGCAGCTTCGCGCGAATAGGTCCACAGGGTGTCCACACGAGACGCGCTCCTCCTCGAGCTGACGTGTAGCCATACTCGCAAGCTTGACGGGTCTGGGTTCGACCATCGGGCATTGGAAGCTAACCTATGTGAGTTCGATTTTGACTCGTTGACGAGATGGCTGACCATTTAGTGTGATCCTGGTGGTATCGAAAGGACTCGTCGAATCTGCTGAGTAGTGACAATGCTTCGGTGGTGTCCCATGTCGGCGGAAGTGTGCACTTATACTTGGCCTCTATTGGTATACGAATGTCGATTCCGGGTCGTGGTTATTTGAGGGGGTTGGGATTCGGGGTCGGTGGTGGTGATGGTGGTGGTGTTGGGTTGTTTTTGCTTTTCTTTTTGGGCGGCGGAGAGCTGGGCGAGGAGGTCGTCGTGGGGTTCGCGGGCGGGGAAGAGGCGGCGGCTGATGGCCCAGACGAGGAGGATGCCGCCGATGGTGAGCCAGAAGATGCCCGTGTAGATCATGCCGCGGTCGTGGGCGCCGTAGACGACGTCGAGGTAGGCGCAGGACCCGGGGTCGTTGGTGCAGGGCACGGCGCGGTCCGCGTAGCCCCAGTGCGGCTCGAGGGCGGCCGCCTCCGACATGTTCTGGATGTGCCGCGGCGTGAGCGCCATGGTTGCGGCTGGTGTCGTTTGTCGACTTTTGTTTTTGGAAGTCTTGGCTTGGTTAGGAGATGGGGAATGGTATTCCCAGGTCCTCCAAGGCAGGACTTGTCAGGAGAGGTGAGCGTTCAGGAGGCTCATCAAGGTGTACATGTATGTACAAGGTGTGCGAAAATCTCAACACCAAGACGAAAGATGGTTGGACCACTCGGGAGAGCAACGGTTAGATGTCTCGGGGCTTAGGCATGTGGCAGGCATGTGGCAAACAGGGACAAGCTGCTCTTATCTCCATGAGGCTCATGCCACGCGCTCGGTTGCCCTTCCCGAAAACTCGGGACCTACATTCCGAACTGCAGGCAACGAAATGTGCCGAGCGTTTGGGGGTAGTGGAATTGTCCCTGAGCATATTAATCAGGGAAGAAATGGCCAATTACGGAGCTTGATTCCACATGCTAAACCTTCTCAAATCCAGCTTTGCCCCCCATCTGATTCCTTGGTGTTTCTCGTTTTCCCACCTTTTTCCACCTTGATGTTTCGCCCTCGTCGTTCAACGAACCTTAGCTCACTTATTAGCATCCTTTCCCCGGTTTTATTGAGCACCTTTGAGCACGTTTCTTGCATCAGCAGGGTGGAACCCAAAGGGCTGGACCCGGACCACCTTCACGTTCGCTGTCCAATGGCCGCCTGTGTGCTGATCCTTGGGGCCTGTTACTGCCTGCCCCCCTGGCCACACGGGTGCTTGAGTTCAAGTTGCGCCATCTTGGCATTTCTGCTTGAGAACACATGCGGAAGAGACGACCCCTCAGACCCCCATCTTCTGGCGCATTCCTGCTCTAACTTGGGTAACTTGCTCGCCCAGCAAGACAATACCGGGGGTTGGTTGCGCAAGTTACGCCACACCGAGCCAACAAATAGTGAAACAAAACCCGAAGGGTGCGCCGTGCCACGGACTCGACGCGGGATGACGGGTTTTTAAAAGGCAGCAGTGCCGACTGAACTGATCGATTTCCCCGGATCCGGTCCCCTCGAGATTGTCTGCATCACCATCATCGTCATCTCCAATCTCCAATCTCCGTGCAGTGCATCCGACCTGGTACGAAATAGATAATTCGACCTGGTAATCCAACACCCCCTCTTTTTTCCAAATCCCCCCGAACACCACCCCCAAATCAGCTGCCGACCTCCCTCTGTCCAACGCTTCTGCAGCCCAATCTGCACCTTCGTTCACTTACCGGCATCCCCCATATTACCCTCCTGCCGTGCCATCCGCTCCTTCGGGAAAAGCAGCCCTCTCTCCTCCGCCAAAAAACCACCCCACACCAAGCCGGCGCGCCTGGCCCCGAGAATACCACCCCAAGCCGCGCCGAGAACCAGCAACCAAAACACACCCACCATGGACCACGGCGGCCACGGCGGCGACGGCAGCGCCGGTCCGGCCTGCAAGATTTCCGTACGCGCCCATTCCAATTGAAGCCCACCAAACACTCCCGGCTTATTCCCACAACCCCCCCAATCTCCCACCCCCCCACCAACTAACGCCCAACTAACTCCCCACCAGATGCTCTGGAACTGGTACACCATCGACGCCTGCTTCCTCACCTCCTCCTGGCACATCGCCAGCCACGGCGCCTTCGCCGCCACCTGCCTGGGGGTGATGCTCATGGTGGTCGTGCTCGAGGCGCTGCGCCGCCTAGGCAAGGAGTACGACGAGCACATCCAGCGCGATTTTGCCGCGCGCGTCGCGCTCATCGCGAACCTCCCCGCTGATACGGCTGGGTCGTCTGCCGCTGCAGGTGGTGGGGTTGGTGGTGGTGTGTGTCCTGCTGCGGTGGGTGGTGGTGGGGATGGGGAGGTGCAGGCGCCGCGGACGGTGACGTTTAGGGCGTCGCCGCTGCAGCAGTTTGTGAGGGCGTTGATCCATGCGGCGACGTTTGGGCTGGCGTATATTGTCATGTTGTTGGCGATGTACTATAATGGGTACATTATTATTTGTATCTTAATTGGGGCGTTGCTGGGGAAGTTTCTGTGTGACTGGATGACGAGGACGGTGGTTATTGGGGGGGTTGAGAACGGTGCGGTGAAGGGGGGGAATACCGCGGCGGGAGTGGAGGAGCCGACGGTTTGCTGTGGGTGAGAGAGGCGGTTGAGGGGTGGGATGTTTAATTGCCTTTTAATGTTTGATACCCTATAACTACTCGATTGTATGTCTTGGTTCGACCCACGCCGGCATCAGCTCGCGACTACCGACTCAATCTTTGCCGCTGCTTTGGCAATCTCGTCGGCGAGCGAAACGCTGGTCTGGTACACCTTCCTCTCTCTTACATCACCGCCTTGGTGGTCTCGATTCCACTCCACCACCTCCTGCGTCATACCCTCCAGCGTCGTCAGCACGCCCGTGTACCCAAGCCCACCCTCTCTAACCGGCCGGCTGGCCGCCTCGTTCGACGCCACTAGATGGGTGCAGATGCTGAAGATGCCGGGCTGGAGGTGCTTCACTTCGCCCGTAAGCTCGGGCAACACCTTTCGCAGAAACGGGAACCGGGCCGGCGCGAGGGAGTACCACTCGATCGGGTACGACAGCAGAACCATGACGACCGGTTGGAGGGCAACGGCCCGGAAGCGGGTGACTGCCAAGGCTTGTACGAGGAAGTACAGGTCCTGGTAGCGGATGGGCGGGTTGGGGTCTGTGATCACGAAGGGGCGTCCTGCTTGTGGCGAGGAAGCCGACCCGGGGCTGGCGAGGACGGCCTCAAAGTCCAGGTGCGCCATTGCCACGTTGGCGCCGTGCGCGAAGCTTTGCACGATGTGGGAGGTCCATCTGTCGATACGGTCAGTACACTATTTTACCGTTGGGCTGCGTAAAAAAGGGGGTTGTTTACGTGGGTAAGACTGCTTTGGCCAGTGCTCCGCCAACAGTGTTGTCTGTCGGATTCCCGTACACCCCGTTTGCAGGCCGGATGCACCCGGTCCTCAGCCCCTTAGAGTTGGCCGCACAAACAATCCGCTCCGCTGCCGCTTTGGACGTGGGATAGTTTGCGTAGAACTCGTCATGACGGCGCAGTGGCTCAAAGAAGTCCTTTCTCGTCTAGTACTTGCCAGTAATGACGCGGTGCCGCCCTGGAAGTACAGCTTCCATGGCGGTACCCAAAGCTCCACGGGGCGAATGCTGATACTTGCCGATGTAGTCGACACCAGCACGTCGGCACCCGCCCTCCGAGCAGCGTTCACAACGTTCTGCGTGCCCCGGACATTGACGGCCTCGCAGAAGCCCGAGACGAGCTTGGACCGGTCTGACGGCACGATCACAGCGGCCGTGTGGAAAACGGTCAGGGGCAGATGGTGCCACGGAGGAATGCCACGCTTTGTTGAACGCTCGGTCCGGTTGCGTCGGCTGAGGAGACAGTCGGCCTGGACAAAGTCAAATGCTAGTCGCCGGGGTCGTGGAGCTTGTCGGCCCGGTTGGGCGCCCTGAAATCGACGATGCGGATGCTCTCCGGGGGCTGGCCTCGCTCGAGGAGCTGGAGGACAATGTAACCTCCCACGAGGCCTGTGGTAGGTCAGAAAATGATGGGCTTGACTGAGCCGACACCGAAGCCGTGTTCAATGGCGGACAAGGCGGACTCACCCGACCCCCCAGTGACAATGTACCGCCTCTCAAGCTTTGGAGGGATACGATTGGCATAATGGCGTGCTTCTACAGGATGTATTTCAAGTCTTCGGTATGTGTCGCGCAGCAACTCTTTTGTCCATGTTGTTGATGCCAATTTTTTGATTTCATCCGGCGTGTGGAGGAGCAATTGATTGAGGCGAATCAAGTACGCGGCGACCAGGACAGCGAGCACAACGACGACCGCAAGATCCGGCCTCGCACTTATACGATCCGGCATTTCCATATCGGCTTTTGAGATAGATCCAGTGCCGCGGCCGGCCTCCTATCACTCCGATGTCATGCAAAGCGCGCCAGATGGCTCAGGGATCCGGCTGAAAGTTTCTGTGGGAAGATGCGGGGAATTTGGCCTTTGCGTGCTCCGAGACTTCCGTGCCGCACGAGTGGTCCAGTGGGGAAGGGTCCGAGGGGGTGAACCCGGTGCCAGCGTAGTCGGCGATAGGGTCACATCCATAATTTCCAGCCCCATCGGTCTTGATGGATTTACAATAACTAGAAACCAAGCTCTACCGGTGCCTTACACGGTATCATCAAGAGAAGCGTGGTAAACGTGGAGACCAATCTCTAGATATTGATATGATCCCCTGAACCGAACAAGGAAGGAGGTTTTCAAAAGTCCTCAATATAGGCAGGTGAATGGGTATAATTAGATCTTTACACTAGTTATTTCTAACTAGCTTGTTCTTCACCCCCCCTCGCGTATCCCTTTCCAGTCTCCCGTTCTTTGGCCAAAAAAAGTCGAACTCCAAGTGTACCTAGGTAGGTAGGTAGGCGCCTAGGTGCCGCCAAAACCTCGACTACAGGAACGAAAAGAAAGACATTGGAAAACCCAAAGTCTCCTTTTTATTACTTTTTTTTTTTTTTTTTTCTAAATTTGTTTCTTTTATTTTGCTCAGTTTTCTTCACTCTTCCTTTTTTTCGGTTTCTTTACTTCTTTCTCATTTCTTGAGTCCTTGTATTTCCCTCTCGTTTCTCGATTCCTTTTACTTCGTTCTATTTTCTTGGCTCCTTTTACATCTTTCTCTCTTCCCGATTTCTTGTTCCCCTTTCGAGGCCGGCTTTTTTTGGCCAGAGGGTGCCTCCACAGTTTGGCAGGAAGCCAATCTCACCGCCGGTTTGGACGCCAGAAAGGGTGGATTGGAGCTAATTCAATGTTCACTTGATCCTTCCACTAACGTCCAAAGCAGTGGGCACCACGTTATTGTGTTAGTGCAGACATTGTTAGTACAAAGTACCCCTGCACGCAGAAGCGGAAATAACCCTCCCACACCTCAGACGAGGTTGTGTTGCTTGAAATCCTTCGCCCAAGCATGCTCGGGGCCGAACTTGACTCACACTTGGTTCTTCCGAGCTCCCTGAGCCCAATAATGCTAAACTGAGATGTGATGAAAACAAAATCCGGCGTTCTGGCCGCCCAATGTTACGGGACAACGTGGACCTCGTGCGCAGCCCCATGATCGCCGTAAGCGACGTGAGATTTTATTCAGGGGTATCCAGATAGCGATGTCGTCCGAGTGACGAGAAAGGCAGGAGAAGGGCTGATGTGAGGGCTTTGTTGAGCCCACTACCCGGGATTGGGATCCTGGAACTACCACAGGAAAGTAAATACATACAAAACTGCCCATGTCTTGAAATTTTGCGTTGTGAACCCAACCTTGGATGTCGTCGTCCTCTCACCTCCAACTCGCCATGGCTAGATCGCCCAGACGAGCTTCAGTTTGGTCGCTAGGCCACTCCATTTTGTTTCTCATCGCCACCATTACAGCCGCCTCAGCTCATCTCACATCTACAGGTCTCTCTGTGACACTAAACGATGTCTACTATTTCGTTTCGCCCTTCCCATCGGGCAAAATCGGCGTCCCCAGAGACTCGCTTTTGAAGGTCCCACGGGTGCTCGGCTTCCTACCTGTGACTGTCGTCCAAGACCGCGTGGCCCACTCTGATCTAACAAAGCTGCTCGCAAACTGGACCGTTATCGACGACGTTTACCAAGCAGTGTTTTCCGAGGCCATCTTCTTGGCTGAGTCTGGAGGTGGAACTGGGTCTCAGGATCTGGCAGTAACCGAGAGACAGATTCTACCAGGACTCTCGTCCACCGTTATTGCCTTCAAGGACTCCAAGATCCCATCCGGACCCTACTTCCTCGAAGCCGCCACCGGCTCCCTGTATCCGGTCTACCGCCTGTATGAGGATTTTGCAGGTGCTTTTACCGAGCCCCTGATTCCGACTCCTGATGGCAGGTTTCAGCCCATGTCGGCCAAAATACCGGGCTCATCTACCCTATCCGTCGGTGTTCCATCCCGATTGTATTTCACTAAAACAGCCGGCAAGCCACTCGCCGGAGTCCGCCTCGGCGTCAAGGATATCTACAGCCTGGCCGGCGTGAAAAGGTCCAACGGCAACAGGGCCTGGTACAGCCTCTACCCACCAAACAATGTTACCGCACCGGCGATCCAACGGCTCCTTGATGCGGGCGCGCAGATCATCGGCCTCCAAAAGACTTCTCAGTTTGCCAACGGCGAGTTTGCGACGGCCGACTGGGTCGATTACCATGCTCCCTTCAACCCGCGCGGCGATGGTTATGAGGACGCAGGCTCTTCCTCTTCTGGGGCGGGTGCTTCTATTTCTTCGTACGAGTGGCTCGACATTGCTATCGGTAGCGATACTGGGGGCAGCATTCGCGGGCCGGCTGGCATCCAAGGGTTATTCGGCAACCGTCCATCTCACGGCCTGGTCTCGCTCGACCACGTCATGCCCCTAGCACCAACGTTGGACACGCCGGGCTTCATAGTACGTGATCCGTATCTCTGGAATGCGGCCAGTGCGGTCATCTACGGCAACAACTACACCTCCTTCGCCAATAAAAAGCCCGAGTACTCCAAGCAAATCTACACCTTGGAGTTCCCACCTGCGTCCGATCCATCTATCAAGCTCTTCGAGGACTTCGCCGCGGCACTGGCCAAGTTCGTAGGAGGCACTGCTAGCCCTCTAGACCCAGAGGTCAAATGGGCTGCCACCCGGCCCGCCGAGGTAGGAAACGCAACCCTCAGCGAGCTCTTCAACACCACGTACGCGACCATCATCACCAAGGAGCAAACCGCCCTCCTCCGCGACCCCTTCTACCGCGACTACGCCGGTAAGTTCCCTCCGAACTCCCCATGCCGCAAACGCTGAGCCCCACTAACCACCCACCAACCCCCCCCCGCAGCGGCGCACTCCAACCGCCGCCCCTTCATCAACCCGACCCCCCTGATCCGCTGGGCCTACGGCGACTCCCTACCCGCCTCGGCCCTAACCACCGCTCTCGCCGCCCAAACCCTCTTCACCACCTGGTTCACAACCCACATCCTCCGCTCCCCCTCCCCAGCCCCCAACGACACCACCACCCCCACCTGCCACACCCGCCCCCTCCTCCTCTACCCCGCCGCCACCGGCCTCTCCCTGCCACGCAACCTGTACGCCGGCCCGCCGGGGATCCCCTTCGGCTTCTACGCGTCGCGTATCGCGTCCTTTGCGGGGGTGCCCGACCTGGTGTTTCCGCTCGGGGAGGTTTGGGGTGATGAGTGCGGTGACGGGGCAGGAGGAAAGGTTTGCCGGTTGCCGGCCAGTGTGTTGGCGCCGCGCGGGTGTGATGGGTTGTTGGTGGCGGCCTGGCCCCAGGACGTTGGTCGGAGAAGGGGGCGGTGATGCGGCCGACGTTGCGTGGGGAGTGTAGTGCCGGGGGAAGAGGGGAGTATAACAAAGACCGCTATTTAGTCATCTAATCCGATTAACGGGTAAGAATGACTCAGATCA